GGCACCGGCTCTGGGCCCCAGTGGCATCCACGTAGCAGCACAGGGCGCGGTGGAAGTCCTGCAGGGCCGTCTCCGCCACCCGGACCTGCCGCTGGGCCATGAGGATGTGCTGGCGAGAGAGGCCGCTCAGGCTGCTGTGGGCCGGGCCGGGGGCGGCGGTGCGAGGACGGCGGGGGCTTGGGGGGGCAGCCCCCGCCCCTCCTTTCTGGAGCCCACAGACACCCGGCTGCCTGCCCCTCCAGGACTCACCGAATCGGGCCCCTTGGGCAGCTCCTCTTCGTGCAGGGGCTCCAGCCTTGGGGCCTGGGAGGGACACGGAGGATAGGCGGAACCCCTGGCGGCTGCTTGGCTCCGAGGTCCCCCAGGAAGCCCGCTGTCCCCAGGGCGCTGGTCCGGAGGCCACTCACCTTACACTCGAGCTGGTCAATGAGCTCCTGCAGCCGTTGGACTTGGAGGCGCCATTGCAGCTCCGCCTCCAAGCGGCACGCTACAGGGAGGGGCTGGCGGTCAGGGGGGGCCCTGGAACCCCATTTTCTTGGCATGCATTGGGGGAGGAAGAGGAAAGGAAGGACAGGAGGAGAGTGGGGAGGCAGTGCCCACCCTGGGCCCTCCTCAGCCCAGCCTCACCTGGGTCAGAAGGGCTGGCTCTGGGGGGTGGCTGGCAGATTCTCCGCGAGGCCCTGCGCCCTGCCCGCCGGCTGCCACTCGGCCTGCTCTGCACCTCCACCTTCTCTTCGTCCAGCCTAGGGAACAGAGGGTCAGTCCACCAGCCCCGGTCCCCACGATCAGGGAGCGGAGGTCTGAGACATTCAGACTGCGGGTTTCAGGACATTGAAACTGTGCCCTGTGGTGAAGGCTGAGGGCTTTGGTTTGTGGGGGCAATAGGCGCTGCTGAGGTTGGGGGGCACCTTCCCCTACCTGGAGCTCCGGGCCTGGGCCTCCAGGGTGTCAGAGGCGCCCTCTAGCGAGCTCTGCAGAGCTTGCAGCTGGCTCGCGGTCTCCCGCAGCAGGAAGCGCGTCACGAACTGGTCCACCTGGGAGGCCTGCTCGTACTCCTGCAGGCAGGGTGGGCAGGGGGAAGACAGGCATCTCTGGGGGGGGGGTGCCCGCCCTGGCCTTGAGAGTAGCAGCAGCAGCCATGTCAGCAGCAGAGGGGCTGAGAACCTGGCCCAGACATGGGGGACTCTGGGATTCGGGGACCCCTTCTTTTCTAAGCCTGGCCTCACCCTGGGAGATGGGCACAGCAGCATTGGCTGGCAGCTGAGATGCCTACCTTCTCTGGGGACCTCAGGCCCCTCTCCTCTCAAGACCACCACCTGGAGAACTGCTATGGCCAAGAATGGGGTTGGGTAAAGGGACAGGTCACGGGGTGGCCAAGGCCCAATTTTGACATACTACCCACCAGCTGACCTCGGGCTCCATCAATCTCCGCGTTCATTCATTCCTCTGGCGACAAGCATTCCCTGAGCTGCCTTTACTAGGCCAGCTGAGTCACTGTCCTCACCAGTAGGCACTGCCAACTACCATCACCAGCCTCCCTGCCCCCAACCCCCTCAGGGGGCAGGGTGTGTCAGTCGGCACTGCTTATCTTGGGAGTCTTAGCAATTCCCCAAGCACCTCCGCCTTCTTGGGCCTCGGTTTCTTCATCTCTAAATGGGGCTGCCCATCTCTCAGAGCGCCAGTGAGTGAGTTACTTACTCCCTAATGGGGCGCAGCCCAGCACCTGGAACAGCTGTCCTCAATCACAAGATGCATCATTATTTTTATTGTCAAACATCACAGTACCAAAAGACTGAACCACCCAAAACAACAGATTTCCTGCAAATAGCCGCCCACCCCTCCCGTACCCACCAGAACCAACCCATACACACCCCCACCCTGAGTTCAAACCCTTGTGTGGGTCCCTCCCTCTACCCCCAGCGCTTTCACTCCTGCCTCAGCTCAGCCAGCAGATGGTCAGGCTTGTGAGCTGGGAAGCAGGGACAAAGGGAGGCTGGGTTCTCTTGTTCCCTGAGGAGCCAAGGGCGTCGGTGCCCTGTGGCCAAGCCTGATCTCTCGACTTTCTGACCATGCTCTGAGCTCCCGGACACCCTTTAGTAAATGCCCTTCTTGGCACCAAAGAACTACCCGTTTGTGGCAGCCCCACTTCCAAATAAGCTCACTTACTCTTCCTTGTGACTGACTGACACCACAAGTGACCCTTTGCCCATGAGCAGATTGATGCCTGGAGGTGTATAACATTGGTCAAGGTCAAAGTGGGGCGAGCCAGGCCCCCCACAGGCACCAGCTCATGCAGGCTCACTAGGCCAGCAGAAGTCACAGGAGAGCAAATGGAGCCAAGATTTACCTCTGGATTCTAGGAGGCGGAATGCAGAGCCTGGAGCTGGTGAGGTGTCAACCCATGAGGTCACAATGAGGGCACAGGGACAGGGCAGAGACGGGGCCCTGGCTAGAGAATAGGTCTAGGTAGTATGGACCTTGGCCCTCAGTGGTGACTTGTTCTACCATGGGAAACAACAGTTCCCACCAGAGGACCAAGATGCCCAAGCAGGCCTGCAAGGAGAAGCCACCTGACAAGCAGAAGTCCAGGCGGGAGCAGGAGTTCCCAAACAGCCACACCAAACAGAATAAGTCTGTTGTGAGTGCCAGTATAGCCAGGGGAACCTGGGCAGGAGGGAATCCCATGAATGGAGGCCTCCCTTGTGAGCAGAATTCCTAGCACCAGGGAGGGGTCCTTCTGGAGTGAGGGTCCCAGGAGTCAACAAGAGTGTGGATGGGATCCCACAAGCCCTGAGAGTTAGGGATCTTAGAACCCATGGGAACAAGACTTGGGAGCCCAGGCACTTGGGCAGGAGGTACCACTGGTGGTATCACTGGTGGCTGTGGACACCAGAAGCACCCCTAAGCTGCCTCCTCTTCAGCACCCGCATGTGCCACTTGCCCACACGTGGGCAGTGGTCCTGGGCACTGGGCTAGGGCTGGTGAGGGTGAAGGTCTCAAGGCTGAGAGGCAGGGAGGAGTGGGCACTCAGGAGGTAGACTTGAAGTGGGGGAGGATAGGTAGGGTGGCCCCCCCAAGCAGGGTGGGAGGCAGAGTGTCTTTGGGGCTTAGGGCATGGGTGAACATGGAAGGGGCTAGGCTTCTGGAGGTTAGAAGCGGAGGGGCCCCAAGTCATGGGCTGGCACGCAGCACTCCTTCCCTTCACGCCTCCGTCCTCCCCAGGCCAAGATCATGCTGCTTTTCTCCCTGGACAAGCGGCAGCCACGCGCTGGGCCGGTGGCGGCAGGGTCCGGCCCGCCGCGGGCCAGGCGGCTGGAGGAGGAGGCAGTGGCGGCGGCGGTGGCGGCGGCAACCGGCCCTCCTGGGGGCTGCGCAGCGCCAGCGCCCATGCTGCGAGGAGCGGGCGACTGCTGTAAGCGGCAGGAGGGCGAGCGCGTCCGTGACCTGAGAAAGATCCTGCTGCTGCTGCTGCTGCTGGACGCCCAGCTGCAGCAGGAGGGACACCTGGCGCCGGGCGCGGTGGGGACCCAGACCGCGCAAAGCAGACAGCGGCTCCCCCAGCGCCTGCTGGCCCAGCCCCCGGCCCGCCGCCCGGTGCGCACCGCCGACGAGCAGCAGCACCAGGGACGCCGCTGCTCCCACCTGCGGCCCTGAGCGCCCCCGCCCCCGCCCCTCCGTTCAATAAAGAGCCCGTAGCAACCCCGGCGCCTCCTCTGTCCCAGGCGGCGGTGCGCCAGGCAGGCGGGCGAGTTCCGTCTCAGGTCCAGAGCGACGCAGGGACAAAGGCACGCTGGAGAGAGCACCACGCCACCATTTGGTTGCAGGGCTGCCTTTTCCTGATTCTCCACTCCTCGCGGCCCGCCCGAGATGGGCAGGGTAAACCCATATCATAGTGGAGGGAGGCTGTCCCTTATCTCCCCCCACCCCCCGACATGCTGGCCAGGCCTTGTTCTGCAGGCCTCCCGGCAAGGGGCTTAGGCAAAACCCAGGCCTGACCATGCACACTGGGCAGGTTACTGCTCTCAGCTCCAAGAATTCTAAACTTTTGAAAATTAAATGTAGGCAAGACGGAGGTGTCCTGGGCAAACAGCCAGGAACCGTGACCTTCCTGCCATCAGTTGACGCTGCCTGTGACTGCACCCAAAGGAGAGGCCTCACAGCCCCCCCACACCCCGGGTCCCCCAACCCCTCACTCCTGCTCCACTCTGTTGGTAACCCTCAAGCCCAAGACTTTTCCAAACACCTCCATCAATTTCAGTACATGGCGCCCAACCTATCACGTCTTCTCCTCTGCCCATATGGAAGCTAACAGCATCTTCCAATCCACCAATTTGGTCAGGACACTTCATGCCCTTGTCCAGAAGCTCCCACTGCCTGCACAGAAAAGCCCAAACCTAGCATGTGGAGGTGTGCAGCCTCACTCCCCAGGCTGCCTCCTCCTCTAGGACCTCAGTGCCTGCTGCCTTCACCCCCACTTTGCTCATATTGCCACTTGGGGCCTCCAGAGTGAGGCTGGCCTCCTCAAAGCGTCCATGAGCTCAGTCAGTTTCCTGTGGACAGGACCCAGTTGCTGCTGCTCCCTTGCCTGGGTGCCAGGGCCATGTGCAGACCCTACTGCTGCCCCCGCCCTGGCAGACCTGCAGGCGGCTTTCCCAGTACACCTTAGCGGGCAGCCAGCTTTCATCAGTCAACACAACCCTCCACCCCTCCACAACCTCTGTGCCAGGCTGAGATGACCCGATTTTGGTCAGCACTGAGTTTTCCCTACCATCTACAATCAAGGCAACAAGGGTAGGCCCTGACGTGTGGCCACACCTCCTGATGAAGCGCGGCTGGCCCAACGGACCCCTTCCCCTTCCCTGTAATTCAGAAGCTGGAGGCGCCCATGCTTTCTACATGAACATCCGGTCGCCAGAAGAATGAAAGTTGGATAAATAAACAGTGTTCACATCCTGGCTTCCCTGCACCCCTGGGAGTGTTGTTTTCCTGAGGTCTGACTTCACCTTTGTGCTGGGAAGGTATACTCCACGCAAGATCCTTATAAAGGCTTATTTGAGCTGAAGTTCACCCCAGCAGGTTTTTTACTTGCAAAATGGAAATGGTCCTAACGAGACTAAAGTAGCCTCTTTCCTATGTGTCAGCATTATTGCCCCTTGTTGGAGGAACAAAGTGGGCTCAGGGTCACCCAGTGAGTCAGCTTCAGAACCGAGTCACCAGCCCAGGCCCAGGTATCCCCCCACAGAAGCCTTGGGGTCACTGCCTGAAGTGGGCAGCAGAGCATGCTAGGCTGCTCAGAGTGTGAGCAAACGGTTTCTCTAAAGCAGATCTGGCCAGCACAATCAGGTGGCCCGAAATGAGTTAGGTTTGCAGGACAGCTGATGCCAGATGCTCACTGCCATTGGCCCTGTGACAGGTGAGAGGCTGAATCCAGGGAGCTTTATGAGGGAGGGGCTGTGGAAGCGCAGCTGATGCTCAGTGCTGAGGTCACAATGAGTCCAATCCATGTTCTTTTCTTCCTTCTCTGGTCATCCCTCCGCCCTCCACAGCCTGGAACTACTTCGGCCAAGTCCAGCCAGGTGAGACAGTGCCGAGAGACCACATGGGGACTCGAGGCCTGAGCTAGAGCCCTGGGTCCCCAAGAGTGAAGCATGTGTAAAAGATGCTACCACAAAGTCCCTTCTTCGTTCTCAGGGCTCTGCAGCTACTGGCAGCCTTTCAACAGCTAACAGGATTCTGTCTGTCTCTCTCGCCATCCACCTCTGCAGATACGGACTGGGCGCGGTCACAGCAGACGACGCCTGCAGCCTGAGCACGGTGAAGAGGACCAGAAGCGGAGAGTCAGACACTCCATTCAGAGGCGGGGCCTCAGACTTCTGGGCGGAGCCAAGGGCTGCAAACGAGCCCCAGCGGCTCTCCACCGCCAGAAGTGGGAAGGAGGTGGCACTTCAGATTCAGAGGGCGAATCCAGACTGAAAGGCTTGGGCTTGATCCAGCCCGGAAAAGGCGGGGCTTAGAGCTGCCGGAGGGTGTCTCTGGCCCGCAAAGGGCCTGGGGGGCGGAGTCTCCAATCAGGGGGCGGGGCCTATGTCCGAAGGGGCCAAAGCTCCCTTGTGCCGGCTGAGAAGGTGGAGCCGGACCTCGCCCCGGGGCAACTGCACCCTCCGCCGCAGGGCAGGCAGGCCCAGAAGGTGGCTTCTGCGGTGGGGAGCCGCGGGGTGCGCGGGCCGCCCCAGCTGGGCCGCGTCGCGGTGGTGGTGGACCTGGGCTCGGGCTTCACCAAGGCCGGCTTTGCGGGCGAGCACCAGCCGCGCCTGACGCTGAAGAGCTCCAGTCTGGTGCCCAGCTGGGACCGGCCCGTGCTGCCCGGCACGCCGGGCTACGAGCTGGCGGGTGGCGTGGCGCGGGCGCACCCCATCAAGCACGGCGTGGTGGTGGACTGGGAAGCGCTGGAGGGGCTGTGGGAGCGTCTGCTGGTGGGCGGCCTGCGGGTGTGTCCAGAGCAGTGGCCCGTGCTGGTGAGTGACTCGCCATCGGCGCCGCCCGCGGGCCGCGAGAGGGTGGCCGAGTTGCTGTTTGAGACCCTGGCGGTGCCCGCGTGCCATATGGCCAGCACGGCCCTGTTGGCGCTGTGCTCCACGGGCGCGTTCAGCGGGCTGGCAGTGGAGGCTGGTGCGGGCGTGTGTCACGCCACGCCCATCTATGCAGGCCACTCCTGGCAGGAGGCCACCTTCCGATTGGACGTGGCAGGCACCACGCTGTCGCGCTACCTGCGGGAGCTGCTGGTAGCGGCGTGCCCGGACCACCAGCTGCAGACCCTGCCCCGCAAGGCCATCACACAGCTCAAGAAACGTTATTGCTACGTGTCGCAGGACTTCGAAGGAGACCTCCGGAACCCTGCCCGCCATCAACAGACCAGCTTCTTCATAGGCAATGGCAGCTGCGTCCATCTCGGCAGCGAGCGCTTCCGCTGCCCGGAGCCCATCTTCCAGCCGCGTCTGCTGGGCCAGTCTGAGCCGGGCCTGCCCTCGCTGGCCTTCCAGGCCCTGCAGAAGATACCCGCCACGCTGCGGAAACGGCTGGCCGACACCATCGTGCTGGCCGGTGGCTCCACACTTTTCCCTGGCTTCACTGAGCGCCTGGACAAGGAACTGGAGGCCCAGTGCCTGCGGCACGGCTATGCGGCGCTGCGGCCACACCTGGTGGCCATGCCTGGGCGTGGCACAGCCGTGTGGACAGGTGGCTCCATGGTGGCCTCCCTGAGCGCCTTCCAACGCCGCTGGATGACCCGGGCCATGTACCAGGAGTACGGCTCCAGGCTAGTGCATGAAGTGTTCAACTGAGTCTGGAGTCCCGTTGGGCTGGAGGGGGCGGGGCGGAAAAGGCACTGCCCAGACGGAGCTGCCACTCTGTCTGGACCTGCAGCCTCGGATTAAAGTCTGAGTTTGGAGCTAGCAGTCATGGCGTTGTGATGGGCTGCCCCCCCCCCCCCCCCGTCTAGTTCCAGGGGGAGTTAGGTACGCCTCACCTCTGGAGTCCTCAGCTGTGAGCTGCATTTGGAATCCTCCCTATCTAGTTCCAGTTTAGAGAATGCCAGCCCAGCTGCCCTGTTTCCAAGGTTAGAAGCAAAGCCATCCCCCCACTTGTGTTCAGCCCAGATATGGAAGTCTCTGCAACAGGCCAATTCCCTATGTACCATGTGGAAAGGAGCCCTAGTGACATAGGGTTCCACGCTGGGCTGCTAATGCCAAGGTCAGCAGTTCAAAACCACCAGCCTCTCCAAGAGAGAAAGACAGGGCTTTCTACCCCTGTAAAGAGTCACAATCCACAGAAGTAGTTCTACCCTACCCTATAGGGTCACGATGAGTTGGCATCGACTAGCAATGAGTTTGGGTTTTTTGGGTGTCATTTGGATGCCAGGCCCCAAAGGTGACCCTTTGCAATCCATTCCACCCCCTGTGAAAGCAACCAGCTGTGAGCTTGGGTGATTGTCAACCCTTTGGGAGCCTCAGTTCCCCCTTCTCTAGAATAGGAAGTCAAACACAATCCCAGGCCGGCCCACTGCTTCCTCATGCCCCCTTATAAGAGTTCTAAGACACAGAGTGGGGAGGGGAGGGGTTTCTAAACATGCAAAAGGTGGGGCAGCAGGTAGTTTTTGAAAGTCACCACCTAAGGGCTCGAAGCTCTATTTATGCATGTGCACATGTGTCCACAAACTCGTGGGTGTATATGTGCTTGCCTATTCACGTATATCCTCAGGCCAAACCTCTGCCCACCAGGCTCCACACATCAGTGTGAGTCTGTGGTTGGGTGTGCCCAGGGTCCCCCATCTCAACTCCTCCCTGCTGGGTGCTGGGCTGATAGCCCCCCACAGGGAGATCTGGCTAAGCACAAAAATGTCAGCAGCAGCTCCCACTAGTGCGCGCCCATTCTGCACCGGGCATCCCTCTGAGTGCCAGGAATGGCACAGAAAACGGACCCCTCTCCCACCTACCGAACTGCCCCACAAACCTATGGAGGTGGGCTCTGTGGCGAGGGCCACTTTACAGATGAGGACATGGAGGCCCTGGGAGGTGATGCTGCACTGCGAGGGGAGCCGGGATTTCAGCCCAGGACTAGCTCCACGGCCGTGAACCCCCTGGGTGCAGACCCCCACAGCATGGCCAACGCGTACACACTCCCCCACCAGTATCCCCTCCACTGACCAGTTTGGTGACGTCCATGGCAGTGAGCACTGCGCGGTTCAGTGCCTCCAGAGCGGCCAGCACAGGCCGGTAGACGCCCAGGTGCTCTGAGAAGTAGTCTGTGGACAAAGGAGGGGGCTCTCCAGGGTTCCAGACCACCACCCCATCCCCGCCCACCCATCCCACTGTGCCCCGGTTTGTACTCCTTGGCCACGCATTCTGTCCCAGCCAACCAGCCACAGTCCCAGCCTCCTGGGCGCTCTCAGGAGACAAGCTCCCCTGCTCCTGGACTCACCACAGAGTCTCTCTGTCTCCAAGTCTCTGTGAGGGAAAGAGAAGGTGCCCTCAGTCACTCAGACCTGGGCCTGCCAAGCTGGGCTTTGAGGCCAACATGGCCCCTGCCCCCACCCAACGAGGAGGAGGTTACTTCTGCCTCCACTCCTGGCTCAGTTGCTCAGCAGGCAGGAGGACCACGGAGGGAAGCGGGAGGGTATTATTAGCCCCATCAAACACACTCTGAGGGCAGAGACTCAGACAAACTTCCAGCGCCCAAGAAGACCCCAGACCTGGGAGACAGAGGTAGGCCAAGGCCAGGGAGGCTCGGAGTTGTGCAGGGGCCACCAGGTCTGGGAAAGTCCAGGGAGGCGTGGGACGCTACTTCATAGAGGGACTGCCTAAAAAAGACCTTGAAGGATGAGGCATTGGACTGGAGTTCCTGGTTCGGTTCGGGTGGGAGCACTTCAGGCAAAGCACCCAGTCCAGGTCTCAGACAAGGGCGGGGCACAGAAACATACCTGGAGAGGTTGGAGAGGTGGGGGAGGGGGAGGGCAGCTGTCTGCCTGTGCTCTCCTGGGAGGAAGCGTGGTGTGTGCATGCCTACACCTAGGCACGTAGATGTGGGAGCCCCCGCCCACCCCAGGAGGTGTATGGGTGTTCAGGGACTGCATCTATGAGTGGAAGCAGACAGGGACCCAGCTGTCCCTAGGTATCCTCTGGTTCCTGAGGGAAGTGGGGTGGGGGGGGGCGTCTGAGGCTGAGCCATGGGTGGTGACTCAGGCCTATCTATTTTGGGGTCCCAGCTGAAAGCAGTGTGGTGGGCAAGGCTGGAGACGGGGAGGGAGTGGGCGGGCGGGTAAATCTGACACTGAGCCTTGACACCTCTCCTGGCTCCCACCAGCCCTCTCCTGTCCTCAGTAAGGAAACCCAGGCAGCAGGGGACACAGTGGGAGGTGGGCAACCTGGCCTCCTCACCAACGACCTCCCTCTGGCACTCACCCAGTGGGGTGCCCGTCGATGCTACTGAACAGTGTCCGAAGCTCCCCTGGGCTGAGCACCCCATCAGCAAAGTAGTTCTGGAACTCCTCAAAGGAGAGCTTCCCATCATCTGGGGAGGTAGGGCGGGCGACAGGGAGCAGCGTCAGTACCTACCCCTGCCTCCTGACTCCACCCTGGCCACCAGGCCCCGGCCCCTCACCACCACCCAGCCAGGTAGGCAGGGGTGCTGCCCCCTGTGGAGATCTGACTGTTGGCACAAAGGAGCTAAGGCCCCCACACCCAAAAACAAACTCACTGCCATTGAGCCCATTTCAACTGAGCGACGCGGTGGAACGGCCCCGGTGGGTTTGTCTGAGACTAACTCTTCACAGGAGTAGATAGCCCCATCTTTTTCCGGTGGTTTCGAAGTACTGACTCTGTGGTTGGCGGTCCAACTTGTAACCCATTACACCACCAAGGCCCCCAGAGGTGCCCCATGAAGGCAGCAGGGCCCACCCAAGGGGCCTGGCATTGGGCGGGAACTCAACAAAAGTTTGTCAGCTGAAGAAGTGAATGCACAGCCTGGGGCACACTCAGGGGGACCTGGGGGCTGAGGCACGGCCCCCCCATGCTGCCAGCCTCGCTCCAGGGTGGAAGAAGCTTCCTAATAGCGCAGCCTCTGGGAGCAACTAGCTCCAAAGGGAAAGAGCACCCTCCCCATCACAGAGGGCGGAGCAGGCTGATCTCAATTGAATGGCGTTATGGGTTGTATTGTGTCCTCTAAAAGTATGTGTCACCAATCCATAGGCTTATGGTTATACAGATACACAACACTTAACATGCATGCTATGTTCCATGAAATTGGACGTGATGTGATTTAGACATCTGTGAGAGCCCTCTGCCCATTGTCCCAAGGGAGCTGGGGAGGAGGTTGGAGGAATGGCAGCAGTCGGGACTGAGCGGGTCAGGGCGGGGCACAGGGTGAGCAACTTGCCCAGTCCCACTCCATGTTCCACCTGCCAGAGCGACCGGGGGGCACTGCCACCTGCCAAAGCTATTCACATCCATTGTTTATGGTCAAAGGGAATTCACCGGAGGCTTAAGGGCCCTGCAAATGGATTTGGGGCTCCCACTATCATCCACAGCCATCTGTAAACCGGGTGTTCACAATTTAACTCTGATACCAGACAAAACCTAGAGCATGTGCCCCGCCTGCCAGGACCCCACCCATGCTCTACAAGAGTCTGGGTTCAGGGTCTTTAAAATTACTGAAGAGAAAAAAAATGCAAAGCCAAACACAGCAGTACATAGGGTAGAGTCGAACTGCCCGGGAGGGTTTCTAAAACTGCTATCCTCTGGAAGCACAGAGTGGCTGGTGGCTCTGAACTGCCAACCTTTTGATCAGCAGCTACACACTTAACCACTGCACCACCACAATCCTTTAAAACCATGGGGGGAAATCACAAGCAAAAAGAGAGCTGCTTTCCCTTAAAAAAAGAAAAAGACAGTTTGGGGGCTGACGCCAGAGTAGATATGGTGGACATAGTGGCGGCAAGGGGTTGTCTGTGTTTTCACTGTTAACAAGGCAGGATTAGTGCAGGGTGTGTCCTCAGTCCCTATCTTTTGAGATCTAAGAGAGATTGGCGCAGAGATGGGAGGGAGAATGATGCCAAGTCACGTGGAGAACTAACTTCAAGCACCTGGCACCCAGGGGGAGACAAGGACCTTCCCTCTGAGCCAACAGTCTTCCTTGAGAGCTGGCACCTGGAATTCTAACCTTTCGCTTGTTAAGACCACTTGCGGTAGGAGCCCTAGTGGTGTAATGGTTCTGAGCCTGGACTGCTAACCGCAAGGTCAGCAGTTTGAAACCACCAGTAGCTCCTTGGGAGAGCGTTGGGTAAAGTGTTACAGTCTCAGAAGTTCCTGGGGACAGTTCTACCCTGTTCTGCAGACTCGCTATCAGTCGGGTGAGTCAGAGTGAGAGAGACCTTAACCCCAGATAGTCACCACAAATGGTACCAGGGATTTGGCCCCAGCAGGTGGTGGGAAGCAGCTCTGGGGGAGGGTCTGTGCACCACCAGATGAATGCCCTGATCCCTCCGAGAGCACGTGGCTTGGGACAGACTGGGTCTCCACCAACTTGAAGAGACTCAAAGGAGAAAGGGCAAGAGGTGAGAGTGTGATGGGAGGATCAAGGGCTGTGAGGCCCCCAGATGGGAGGGAGCTCAAAGTGGATTGGCTGCCTCACTTCAGATTCCCAACTGGCCAATCCCAATACGGTGGGTCTCCCATGGGTAGCAACCTGTGGCTCCTTCGCTTCCTGGGCTCCAAGGCGTTCCCAGGTTGGCCTCAGAGACAACGAGGGCCTAGGGCAGGAGGAGTTAAGGAAAGCTCCCAAACTCTCTTAAAAATCTAAGTAAAATCTAAGTAAAATCCCCCTCTGGGCTTCATCTCCTTTCACCACCCCTCCAAGCCTCTCACATGGGGCAGTGTGACCTCAGGCAACCGTTTCACCTCTCTGGGCCTTGCTGGTGGGTACCTCTATCCAGAGCACGCTGCGGGTAAGCCCCCCACTGGCCAAACCACAGTTCCCAACCCCTCCATCCTGCCAAAGCCAGCACATCCTCGGACCACTTCTCTAGAATACGGCCTCCCCAAGAGTTGTCTCCACCCCAGATGGAGCCTCCTAGCACCCCCGCATGTCCCCTGATGCCCCCACTGTACCCCTTGCTGTGGGGACCCAGAAGACACTACACTCACCATTCTTGTCTGCTCTTCGGAAAACCTAGAGAACAAATAGGTGTGAGTGGGAGCTGGGAATGGGGCCTGGGAAGGGCGCCCCCACCCAGTCTGACAGGGTCACAGCGGGCCTGCATGCCCCTGCCTCATCTTTCCTTCTGTCCAGCCTGGCTCAAACACCACCACCACCACCTGCTGTGCCCCAGCTCAAGGCCCTGCAGGGGCTTTCCCAGCAAGGGAGGAGAGGTGGGAGGCACAGGAAGAGCACACAGCAGGCCCCTCCGTTTGTTCACTTCTCCTCAGGAACCTGGCTTGGTGGGGGGCATTCTAGGCCAGCTCCCTGCACCTCTACTTCCCTCACCCAGAGCCTGACAGAACTCTGCTGCAGCAGCCAGGGCACAGTCCCAGCCTGAGGAAGGTTGGGGAGATGGGCCAAGATGTAGCCTGAGGATCCTGGGCACCTGCCCAAGACCTGAACCCCCGAACTTTGCTGGATGCCGGGGTACCCTGTAGCCCTGGGTGCAGGCAGAAGGGTACCCTCCAGCCCCTGCCCTCTCTGGGTTCTTTCCCTGGGTGCTGGATGCCTGGGTACCCTCCAGCCCCTGCCCTCTCTGGGTTCTTTCCCTGGGTGCTGGATGTCTGGGTACCCTCCAGCCCCTGCCCGCTCCAGGTTCTTTCCCTGGGTGCTCGTTGACAGCCCTGACCTTCCAGGGAGTGATGCTACTTTCTTGGCAGGAGCCTGTTTTTCCATTGGCACTCTCAGGTGGAAGGCAGCCTGGGTTAACCCTTCCAGGACCAGACAATTAACTCAGTGGGAGGGCTTTAGGTAGGTGTGTGAGTCTGAGGGAGAGTAGGAGTGGTGGAAGGTGGGGAGGGTGCATCATATTTGCAGAGAAGGGAGCAGTCTCTACCTCTTCCCGAGGGGTGGCAATCCAGCAGGCCACAGGCAGGAGGGGTCAGCCAAGGTCTGGACGGAGTGCCCATCCAGTGTGCACTCCTGAATGCCCCTCACTTTCAGCCACTTCCACAGGGACAGTGAGATTCCAGCATGAGTCTAACACCTTATCGGACACCTGACTCACAGTAGGTCTGCCATCGGCCCAGGGTGGCCCGGCTAGAGTAGGTGGAGGTACATAAGTGCATTGCACCTGGGGTCAGACCCTGGCTCCGCCCTGCCTCTATGTGCAACCTGGACATGTCCCGAACCCCTAGGGTCTTGGTTTCCACATCTGGAAAGGGGGAAGGTCAGGTCCTTTTCAGCGGGCGGACTGTGGTCAAGGTGCTGAGTCACTGGGGACAGTGGGGAGGTGGCAGGAACCTGAGTGGAAGCAGGAGAGAGCTAGGATGGGGCTGGGTGTGAGGGTGAGGGGGTCCAGAGGGGCTTAGGACAGTGACCAGATTGCTGCCCAGGGGGTCTGCTGAACCACACTCCCCTCCACCCTCACTGGCAGCCCAGACCACAGGATGACTGTGGCCAGTCCTGAGCAATTGTGGGGGCCACAGCCCCTGGGTTGGGCCCTCGGGGATCTTGAGTCCAGCACCAGGCTGCAGATGAGCAGGCTCCCCTGCCCCAATATACCCAGCCTGGCGCTGCCAGGCTGGACTGTGTGTACAGACAGTCCCCACCCCCAATCACACACAGATGAGGTGGCGTGCGGATGGGGGCAGCAGGAGCGGTGCTCAGGGAACATGAGAGAGGGAACGGGTGGGAGCACAGGGAGATAGGGGCACCGAAAGGAACTAGCAGGGTTAGAGAGAGAACGGCAGAGGCAAAGACCCGGAGACATGGAGGGAGAAACGCTGCCAGGGGCAGAAGCCAGGCAAACCCTGTCAGGGAAAGATGCACGGAAGGGGACAGAGGGGCAATGAGTGACAGCGCCAGGGAGAGACCCAGGGAAGGAGACAAACTAGCATGAGACAGACAGAAAGGACCCAGGGCCAGAGAGGGAGCCCGCGGCAACTCACGTCCTGGA